AGGAGGGGGGTGGGGGGGAGGGCGAGGCTCCGTGAACTGTGATAATCGAGTAACTGTAATATTCCGCCTCATAAATTTTAAATCATTTCCCCTCAACGTCAGATGACTGCAGGAGAGACAAAGCCAGGCCTCTGTCGTAAGCAGCGATCTCAGGAGCGTCCAGCAGCCGTCTAGCACTTGTGTCCACCCGACTCCCACGCCGGGCGGGGTGAACGCAAGCTCTGCCGCCCGGGCTTGGCAGGCTGCGCTCTGGAAACGTCTAAGCCTGCGCTCAGACGCAGGGAGAGCTATCTTGCGGTATTTTATATATCCTTGTAAACCACTCAGCTGCTTCTCTGGAAAAGGCAGGGTACAAATAAATATGTAAGCCCGCAGCCACTTCGGCTTCCTGATTGAATTATCCGGCTTCGAACGCAGTAATAGCCTCATTTTATTAAGAGGCAGCTACTTGCGCTGTTCTGTTGGCCAAATTCCCGAGAGCCGGGGCTCCCCGCAGGCCCCGAGACGATCTCAGGCCCCAGGACGCCGGGTCGGGAACCGAACTCAGGGCCCTGCGGCCTGGCCCGGGCCTGGCGTGTGAGGAGCCCGGATGTAGACGGCAGCACCGCGAGAGTTGCTGCTTCTCTGCGTGTCAAGCCTACTTCATCCTCAGCCTGCCTTGCAGTCTGGTGCTTCATCGGGGCTGCGGCTTCGGTGAGAGAACTTGAAGGGTCCCAGAAGGAAAAGGCTATTTGAGGAGCCCCTCCTGGAGCCAGAACGCAGCAAACCAGAGCGGCCCAAACTCTAGGCCAGTGATGGCGAACCTTTCAGAGATGAGTGTCCAAACCGCCACCCAGAACCCACTTATCTCAGAGTGCTGGCCCTGGAATTAAACCTGACTACTGAGGTTTTAGTTTAGAAAAAAAGAATTCATACACTGACATCTTTTGTCTAAAAAAAAAATTAACATGCAAGCCTTCTGCGTGTTATTGGCTCACCACCACTGCACTGGGAGATCTTCCTGCCTCAGCCTCCCAGGTGCTGGGATTACAGGCCTACATCACCATGCCCAGCTGTTTGTGATTTGGGCTTCAAGCTAGACCCATTCTAGGAGAAATGGCATTTGGACTGCAAACATAAAGTCTTGTTGGGTATGGTAGCACACCCCTGTAATCCCAGCTACTCGGGAGGCTGAGGCAGGAGGATTGCAAGTTTGAGCCCAACCTGGGCAATTTAATGAGACCCTGTCTGTGAATAAGAAATAAATAAAAAAGGCGAGGAAAGTAGCTCAGTGGTAGAGTGTCTGCCTAGTATGCATGGACCCCTAAATTTGATCCCCAGTACCATTTTTTAAAAATGAGCCAGGTATGCCACAGCACAGGAGGCTGAGGCAGGAGGGTTACCTCAAGTGGAAGGCTAGCCTGGAATACATAATGAGACCCTGTCTCAAATACCAAAAACAAACAAAAGAACAAAACGTTTAAAGCCTTCCAGGACATTCCAGTGGCTTCTAGGGATGAGAATTTGACTGCATATTTGAACTCAAGCCCTCAGGGTAAACCTGAGGCTCTCAGCGGCTGGGAGTTGGCAGCCAAACCCCAGGCATTTAATTACGCTGCTGCAGAGAGCGCCAGGCGAGGTGCGAGGGACACAGACAATTATTTTAGGAAAGCCGCGGAGGCCTTCTCTTCCTGCCACTTAAATCTTGCTTCTCTTTTACAATTCAATATTTCCTACATGGAGAGAAAAGGCCTTGTTTGCTTTAAAGGGCATGGGAAGAAAAGCAAGGAGGAGATGTGAATTATGTTGAACTGCGCTGATTTGTTTCTGCATAAATGAGAGTCTTTGCGGGAGGAAGTTTTTGTCCTAACTGCTTGGGGATGGTGGGGGGGAGACGACATGGCTGCTGGTCATTGTTTGGCTTTGTGTTGGTTTATAGAATTGCGTTCATCCTGGAAGGAAACGAAGCTAATTCTACATTCTTCCAGAGCCAAGGGCCAGGTGTTGCTTGTGTTAGGTGGGACTTTGCAGGGGAAGACCAAACAGGCACACACGCCTGTGATCCCAGCGCTGTGGGAGGCTGAGGCAGGAAGATCTCAAGTTTGAGCCGGGCCTGGGCAACTTAGTGACTAAGCAAGACTGCTCAGTATTAAAAATAAAAATGGAAGGGCTGAGGAAGTAGCTCAGTGCAGAGGAGCTGGATTCATTCACAGGTATCAAGAAAGAAAGAAGTGCCAGGGAGAAAGGAAAAGAGATGGAGATCACAGAGCACTTTGGAATCCCAGCTATGCAGGAGGCTGAGACAAGAGGATGACAAGGTTGAGGCCAGCCTGGAGTATTTTTGCTTTTTGAGACAGGGTCTTGATGTGTAGTCTGGGCTGGCCTTGAACTCACTGTGTAGTCCAGGCTGGCTGCGATCTCACGAAGATCCTCCTGCCTCAGCCTCCCAAGTGCTGGGCTGACAGGCGTGCACCACCATGGCCAGTTTCTAACTGTGGTTATGGAGGTAGGATTGTGTGTGTGCTCACGTGTATGAGAGAATGAATTCCTGGCTGGCAGAAGAGCTTGAACCCTCCAGTTCCTTGCTGTGAATCTTAACCCTTCTGTGCCTCACATCTGTGAAATGGGGCTCCCTGAGGAAAAACTGTGATCCCACGTGTTGGCCCCTCGATATGCGATTTGGAACTTCTCCGGGCATCTGGAGAAGGGTGTCTGTCACCTCCCGGAGGCCCCTTTTCTCCCCCAGCAAGATCAAGTCAAGCCAGGTGTGGTGGCACACGTGTCATCTGAGCACTCAGAAGGCTGAGGCAGGAGGATCTCAGGTTTGAGGCCAGCCTGGACTACATAGTGAGTTCAGTGCCAGCTTGGACTACACAGGGAGACCCTGTCTCAACAGAACAAACGATGGAGGGAAGTCCTCTACAAGGTCCCGGCCCTGACCCTGCCTCTCTCAGACTCTCTTCCAGAGCCCCGAGGAGGGCTGGCAGCTGTATACCTCGGCCCAGGCCCCGGATGGTAAATGCGTATGTACTGCCGTGATCCCGGCACAGAGCACCTGCTCCCGTGACGGCCGGAGCCGGGAGCTGAGGCAGCTGATGGAGAAGGTAAGGACCTCTCGGCCGTTCCCACCTAGAGCTGCCTGCAGCCGGCCTAGCCCAGCCCCTCCGGCGGCATGCACTGTGCAGAGCTGCCTGAGAAAAAGGGCCCTTTTCTTTTTGCTTTTTCCTGGGCATGGAGTCCAGGGCCTTCTGCAGGCTAGGCAGGCACTCACTGTGGAGCTGCATCCCCAGGTCCCCGTGGATATTTTAACTCAGTGTCTGCTCAGCACCTCTGGGCAAGAGAGGCCAACGGCTTGGGGGCTGCGAAGGTGGAAAATTCCCAGGGCAGCATCCAGGTCTCTTTCGTGGCAGCCCCTGCAGCCCAGCCTTTAGTGCACCTGACCTGGCAGCGCTCTGTGCCCTTCTTCCTCTAGAAGATCCTGGGAAGACATTTTCTCCTAGCCTGACGTGGTTCGGCACGTCTGTAATCCAAGCACACCGGGAGGCTGAGGCAGGAGGGTCTCAAGTTCTAGTCACACCTGAGCAACCAAGTGAGACCTTGTCTCAAAATAGAAAATAAAAGGGCAGTGCCTGTAGCTCAGTGCAAAGGCCCTGGGCTCAATTCCCCAGACGGGGGCAGGCGGGGTAAAGATGTTCTGGATAGTAGCCCAGGCAGAGAAGGAGGTTACCGGGTCAAGGGGGTGTGAGGGTGGCACTGTTGCAGACCTGGGGGACAGGAGGTAGCCCTGCCGTGGTGGACCGGAAGCGGTGAGGGAGCGGAACCTGCCAGGCCCTTATTTTGCATCGCCCCCTCCGGCTGCCTTGAGGATGAGGATCGGGGGACAGGTGGTGGGGGCCGGACTGCACGTTGGGGGGGTGTCCGGCATCTGTGGTGCCTGGGGCCTCGCCTGTGGCATCTCTGGTTGGGGGGTGGGATAAGGAGCTTAGGTGTCCGCAACTGCCCCCGCCTCAGGTCCAGAACGTGTCCCAGTCCATGGAAGTCCTCGAGCTGCGGACCTACCGTGACCTGCAGTACGTCCGCAGCATGGAGACCCTCATGCGCAGCCTGGATGCGAGGCTCCGGGCAGCTGATGGCTCCCTCTCGGCCAAGAGCTTCCAGGTGGGACCTCCGGGGTCAGGGCCGGATGGGTCAGCTCAGGGCTGGCCGGGATCTGGGGTCCAGGGTGGGCCAAATGTCATGGGTGGAGCTGGGTGTGGTGGCCCACGTCGGTCACCGCAGCCCTGGGGAGGCTGAGGCAGGAGGATTGCTGAGAGCTCCGGGCTCAAACAAAACAAAAACAACAAAAGAAAGATGACAGGGTGGAGTTGTGGGGCAGAGGTCAGCGGTCACACTGGGCAGTGGGGTTCTGCCTTGGGGGGTAGGAGCTGAAGGACAGGATGACGGAGCTGCTGCCCCTGAGCTCGGTGCTGGAGCAGTACAAGACCGACACGCGGACCATTGTGCGGCTGCGGGAGGAGGTGAGGAACCTCTCGGGCAGTCTTGCTGCCATCCAGGAGGAGATGGGCGCCTATGGCTATGAGGACCTGCAGCAGCGCGTCATGGCCCTGGAGGCCCGGCTCCACGCCTGCGCCCAGAAGCTGGGTAAGGCTGGCCTGACCTCCTGACCCTTGACCCCTGACCTCCTGACCCTTGACCCCCTGACCTCCTGACCCTTGACCCCCTGACCCCTGACCTCCGCACCCAGCCAAACCCGGCCCACAGTACGGGCAGTGACCCTTCCCTCAGTACCCTCCCTTCCCACCCCGACTCTCTCCTGGGATAGATTTCTGTGCCCTCCCTCAACACCAAGCCTGTTCCTTCCTTACCCTCACGGCCCGTTCCTGCCTCCCAGGCTGTGGCAAGCTGACCGGGGTCAGCAACCCCATCACCATCCGGGCCATGGGGTCCCGCTTCGGCTCCTGGATGACTGACACGATGGCCCCCAGTGCGGACAGTCGGGTGAGTGACAGCGCCCCCCACAGGTCAGAGCCCTTGGGCACTCCCTTGGCTGTCTAGTGACCAGCAGGTAACAGGGACCCTCTAGCCCTGGGGATCCCAAAGTCTAGTGGCCTCCAGTGACTGCGTGGAGAATGGTTAGTGGACGGTCCCTGGCGGTCTCCTGAGAAACGAGTCGGGCCATCGCATGGCCAACGCCACAGAGTGCAAAGTAAGATGGCGTCAGTGTCGCCAGGTGACATGATTTTAGAGAGCCGCTGTCGTGTGGCCTAGCCTTGTGTCACGCAGCACGTGACTCACTACCGCCACCTCCCAGCGACCACTGATCTCTGAAACACTACAGTTGCCAGAGTCGTCCCAAGAACTACGCTCCAAGCACTGCCCGTGCGTGACCCTGGACTCCTAGTGGGGTGAGGACCTCCCATTACCTAGATCCGCGAGGGCCAAGCACAAACTGCCCAGTGACCGCCCTGTAACGGTGACTGGGTGGCCACCGAGTGCCTTGCCACCATTCCACCGTGTTGCTGGTCTCCCCTGGATCACGGTGGTCCAAGCAGTCCTCCGGCTTGGGAGCCACACGTGGCCTTGCATCCCCGCCCACCACTTCCTAGCCAGGGAGCCTCGGGCAGGGTCCTTAATGTCTTTGTCTCCTTGGTCACCAGCCCTGACTCTCTTAGGATTCTTTTTTCTTTTTTGAGACAGGGTCTCACTATGTAATTGAGACTGACCTGGAACTCACTATGTAGCCCAGGCTGGTCTCGTCGAACTCACAGCGATCCTCCTGCCTCAGCCTCACGAGTGCCGGGATGACAGGCGTGCACCACCACACCCGGCTAAGTCTTAGGATTCTTAGCCCAGTAACAAGGGCACTCAGTTGGGCAGGGTGGTCGTGCATCCCTGTCTTCCAGCCCTCTGGGAGGCTGAGGCAGGAGGATTTTAAGTTTGAGCCCAGCCTGGGCAAGTCAGTGAGGCTTTGTCTCAAAAATAAATAAGTAAATAAAAGAAAGGGCTGGGGGATGCAGTGCAGTGCAGATGCCCTGGGTTCAATACCCAGTATACAACAATAATGATAATAATAAGGATGACAGTGCTCACAAGGGCTGTTTACCGTGACAACCATGATGAGGATGGTGGAAGAGTTACGCCTAGTTACCTGGTGTCACGGGTCCCCCACGGCCGTGACAAGTGGCCTCTTGTCACCCCGTGGCTGTCCAGCGCCCCCTAACCAGTCAGTGTCCAGTTTCTGGTGGACACTGGGGCCCGGGAGTCCCCCAGAGAGTCCAGTTTCCCCCGGATCCTTCTGGGCCGAGTGCCACCCACTCGGTGTCTGTTGTGAGCGGTCTCCAGGTGTGTGTCCTGGGTCCCCCGGGTCCCCGCAGTGACCCGCGGCTGCTCCCGCAGGTCTGGTACATGGACGGCTACTACAAGGGCCGGCGGGTCCTGGAGTTCCGCAGCCTGGGCGACTTCGTCAAAGGCCAGAACTTTATCCAGCACCTGCTGCCGCAGCCCTGGGCGGGCACGGGCCATGTGGTGTACAACGGCTCGCTGTTCTACAACAAGTACCAGAGCAACGTGGTGGTCAAGTACCACTTCCGCTCGCGCTCCGTGCTGGTGCAGCGCAGCCTCCCGGGCGCCGGCTACAACAACACCTTCCCCTACTCCTGGGGCGGCTTCTCCGACATGGACTTCATGGTGGACGAGAGCGGGCTCTGGGCCGTCTACACCACCAACCAGAACGCGGGTAACATCGTGGTCAGCCGGCTGGACCCGCACTCCCTGGAGGTCATGCGGTCCTGGGACACCGGCTACCCCAAGCGCAGTGCGGGCGAGGCCTTCATGATCTGCGGGGTCCTCTACGTCACCAACTCCCACCTGGCCGGGGCCAAGGTCTACTTCGCCTACTTCACCAACACGTCCAGCTATGAGTACACGGACGTGCCCTTCCACAACCAGTACTCGCACATCTCCATGCTGGATTACAACCCCCGCGAGCGGGCCCTGTACACCTGGAACAACGGCCACCAGGTGCTGTACAACGTCACCCTCTTCCATGTCATCAGCACCGCGGGGGACCCCTAGGGCTCAGGCTGCCCGAGGGCTGCTGGGGGTCCGTCCCTTGCTGCCTGCATCCCTTCCGGTCTGTCTCTGTGGCCCCTTTTCCCTTCCTTCGTTTCCTTTTCCCACCTCTGCCCAGCTTTTGTTCTCTGCCCTTCTATTTCTACCCCTGCATTTTCTCAAATTATGTCTCTCCTCCTTTCTGGATCTGTTTTTGATACTCCATTTCTTGGTCTTCCTGCCTTTTTTAATTGATGTCCCTGTTTTTTAATTTTTTTTGTGTGTGTGGTACTGGGGAATTGAACCCAGGGCCCTTGCACTGAGCTGCATCCCCAGATGTTTTTTTGAGACATGGTCTGACTAAATTGCTAATTTTCCCAGGCTGGGTTCGAATTTGAGAGCCTCCTGCCTCAGCCTCCCAGAGTGCTGGGATCACAGGCATAGCTACCATGTCCAGCTTGTGTTTTTACTGATCGGAGCCTCCAGTCCTCTTTCTCTTTTTCCCTCTCCTTCTCCCTACTTCCCATCGGCTCTCTCTCCTCATTCCCACCCTACCCCCTGGAGTTGACTGCATGAATCTTTCTTTTTTATTTCCGTGTTTTCTTTCCGGGTTGCCAGAATAAACAGGGCCTTTGACATTTGACGCGTCTGTGGCCGTGCGTGGCAGCGGCTTAGGCGGAGGGAGGCACAGGTGGTGGCCGGCACCAGTCTCCGCAGAGCTCTTGTTCCACGATTCCCAGTTCAGTGGGCTGGGGCTTGGGGGGCGGAAAGTGGGTGCCCCTTCCCAGGGCAAGCCCTGGTGTGTGTGTGTGTGGGGGTATGCGCATGTGTGTTTGTTTTTACTGGGTCACACCTGATCTGAGTTAGCAGGAGATTTGAAACAGCCTGAAGGTACTTGGCCTGGGTTGGGTGAACTCACCACACTCACCTGGGCCCCCCCTTTATGGGTGTGTGTGTGTGTGTGTGTGCGTGTGTGTGTGTGCGTGCGTGTGTGTGTGTGTGTGTGTGTGTGTGTGTTGCGGGGGACAAGCAAGGTCTTGCTACATTGCCCAGGTTGGGCTTCAACTTGAGATCCTCCTGCCT